TAGCACAGCAAATAAAAATAAGATCATAAATGACAAGGATATAAGCTGGAAGGGAACATTTTTTTCTAATCCGGTAAATGATTGACGGTATGGTCAGGTTAAACAACGGCGTATCTAAGTCTTCAGTCCATTTTCAAATAAAACTCATACTTTGCTTACTGAAATTTTACAGGAAAATAAGACCTCTTTATTTCAATGCAAGTGAAGTAATCAGAAAGCGTCCAAGTACCAAAGTATAACCAATGTCATTCCAAAATTAAACAATATTGGAATGAAAGTTGTTTGACCTTGTTTTCGCAAGTTGGTCATATTGGTAGGAAAACTTAGAGAAACGCACCTTGTCCGGAGTCCATTGTATGTATAATCCTTTCCAAAGCCGGACCATGGACGGGGCACATTCCCGGACGTTTCGTCGGCATCGTAGTCGGCAACGTCAGTGAGTTTTGCCATTCGTAGCGCCGTATTAAAAATCGTCAAATAGACAAGTGAAGCCGATCCTTTGACCAAACGTGTGCTAAATATTTATGATATCTCCCCTTCTGCCTTGGCTTATTCACAGTTCCTATATCCTCCTACCACGCTTTCACTGTCACAATGTTTACTTGCTTAATTTAATGTGGTCTATAGCTTCCCATGCTCTAGTCTCTTGTGTGCCAACCCAGAAATGTTGTGGTACTGCTTGCTTTGGTCAGGTTCAATATTGAACCACATTAATGTGGACTGGCACATAAAAGACTAGGGCATGGGAAGTCATAGACAAGGTATTAGAGATAGAAACAGGATAGACGCGGCGGCGATGAGAGCTAGTCGGCTGACAGTAGGTTTTATAAGAGACGTGGTCCATGTGGCAAAGACGTGACAATGGCACTAACTCAAAGGCTTTAGCCTTGAATTAGTCACAAAGACGCAGGGGAGGGCGAATAACGCCTCAAGTTGGCACTGATAGGGTGGCTTGGGTCGAGTGAAATAGGTGAACCAGGAAGAGGGCAGACGGATCTTACGGGGCAAGAGAGAGACTGTGGTAAGACCTAAGGAAGGAGGACTGCGTAATAATATCGCAGACTCTGATCAATATTCCCAGCACAAGGATGAAGGGGGGTGAGAAGGCCAGCGAAGGGAGATACCATAACTGTTTAGCACACGTTTTGTCAAAGGATCGGCTTCACTTGTCTCTTCAACGAGTTGTAATATAGTGCTATGAATTGCAAAACCCACAGACGATTCCGACTACAACGTCGGTGAAACTTCTGGGAATGTACCACGTCCACGGTCCGACTTTTGAAATAATTATGCATACAATGGACTCAGAATAAGGTGCGTTCCTCTAAGACTTTCTACCAATATGACCAAGTTGCAAAAACAAGGTCAAACAACTTCTATACAACGAAAGAAAACTGTGACTACACAAAAGACCACACCCTCTTGGTCTTCATACCTTCACTATTCTAATAAATTCAACAAAAATCAAATCAAATTGATGAGCAGAACAAGCAGTTTAAATAATGCAATATGGGATAATGCAAAACAAATGCCCAGTTTATAAATTTAGTCCAAAACTATATTAAACCATATAATAAAGATATCCTGGCAGCTGCGATCAAAATAAATGCAAATTATCATAAGAATACAAAATTGCATAGGTTCGAAAAAGGAATAGCATCAAGGTATATATATGAGGAAGAAAGGTTAGTGTATAACTTAAATCTCTGATTCAAATAGTCACTGGTCAAAATTAGTTAGGTATTATATAGCCTTTATATATTATGGAGTAAACCGTGTAGAAGTCGCATACTTTTAGTGCGGCAATTTAAATGCATTTTTAACGCCAGCAACTTTTGGCCAGTAAATGGTATAAAGTTTGCGCTGTAGCTTGTTGAATTGTATGAAACCCAACTAGTAACACTACTAAAAACTTATAAATCTTCATTAAACTTATAAAACGCTGCCCAATAGGAAGAATATATTTACCTCATTTCCTTCCTTATCGATATAAAGTAGATCAAAGTAATCGAACTCAAGGATGTTAAGCTTCTGCATGACCATGTCATAAAGTTCCTGCCCCGGACACCGAGCCTAATTTAATTTAGAATAAATCAAATACGTTTGATAACTTTAAAGCGAATATGCACAAATGTTTAGTTAATGAAAATGACTAAATGCCGAAGACCTTAATATGAAATAAAATTTTACGTAGCAAAAGATTGACCATGAAAATAAACTGTTAGCATATAATTTAGATGTAATCGTTATTGACCGCTCTTCTCAGCAATATGTACTATAAATTAAGAGCCCAAAGACGGGCAATTTTACTGGTTGCTATAATAGTCGACTCTTGTAGTTTGACAATTCGAAATATTTTGAGTTCGAAACAGACATGGCTTTTTGCAGACGTGCATGTAGAGCACAAATTTGTTAAATCTTATGAATATCAGCATCGTCCATTTACTTGCAATAAATATCTAAAAGTGATCACTTTAGCCATTTATATAACGATAAATAATGGAATACAACATACTTGAGAAAAATTTTAATTTGTAACAACAATAAATCGGTTTTTTTATAATTATAAGAATTTTTTCTAGGATTCCTGTCAGATGAAGGCTAAATGGAATTTTTTAGCCCTAAGAGATATATTCGGAAAAAATGGTGGCTAGCAAAAATACTATTAAGTAAGTTATAAATACAAAAGATAAATCAAATTATAGTGGAAGTGGTTAGTTACTCAATTTAATGAGCTTCGGAAATTAATTCCTTTTTCAACATCACAAAGTATATCCTCCATAGCACATGGGTACGAAAAGTACAATCAAGACCCACAAGTTAAAGACTAACGAAAGTAGAAACCAGCTAGCAAGACATATTACTTCCCAATTCTAAACAATAAAGGGAGGCTTACTCCGAAGCAAAATAACTCCCAAATACGAAATCATCTAAAAGGACAACAAAGTCCTAGTAACGAGATTCTAAAATCAAGCAGATGAAATTAGAGTTGTTGTGTGTTAATTTTTAAATAAAACTAAAATAATTTGTAATTTCAGTATATCGGTAACTTTAAAGTAGAGATCATCTGATCAAGCAAATATATGTGAAATAAGCATAGGCTAAGATAAACTCTATGCTGTTGATATTTAATTGACCAAGCGTCGAGGCACGATATAAAACAATCAAGACCAACAAATATACTTTAATGGTCCAAAGTTAATTCATATGGGAAAAAAGGTTAATGGAATTATATACAAAAAAGCGAATAAAACTAAAGGGATATGCTAAAACTGCGGATAACAAATTTGAATGTTGCTACTACTGATTTCCAGAAAAAAATGAAAAATTATCGGCTAAGTGAAATGCTGGGAAGTTCTACTCGTCTATGAATACAAGTTTCTTCATCAAGTCTGTTCATATGAGATACAAACAAGAACATATACATTAATGTTTAAGAGTTTTGTAAATATGCTAAAGCGTTAATTCAATTTTAAGATATATAGAAAGCAAACAATATAAAGCAAAAGAGAAGTAATACAAATGAATTGTTAGTGTAAGTTTATTCTGAATATACTCTTCAAATATGCTACGTATACATTTGGTAAATGTTAGTGCTGATTAGTAAAGCGATGAATAGGAGGGAACTATTAGAATTATCGCGGTGTGCTTACATCGGATAAGTTAACTTAGCCATGATAAAAGGAAAAAAAGCCCAGCAATTTCTTAAAACAGCGAATTAAACAAAGATAAACGATTTTTAGAGCAAAATATTTGATGATAAACTCCATCAACCATTCCCAAAAAACGCAATCTAACATTAAGGATTGTTAATGAATAGAATAATTAGGCTTAGTTGAAGTATATACATCGAATTTAATAACTCAGAGCATATATCTAATCCATGAAGATTTAAGGGAGGCTTATAGCATATAATTCCTCCAGTAACGAAAATAAAACGAGAGCAAACCTATATAGGTTTAGTATTTTTCAATTTTAAAAATAAATTTGCATATATAATTAAAGGATAATTGTGATGGTTAAAGAGAAAAACACATGTATATAAACAGTGCTGTAAAATGTCCGAAAAAATAAAATTTATTCATTAAATTAATGGTTCTAGGTAATAAGTTATGCAAGGTAAAACAACACTCAAAAGCTCTTATGTAAAGATATCTAGGTCATTTCATAGCGTACTCAAAGTAAGAAAGTAAATGTTTTTTGTTTCAGCATAAAGACTTAGTTAGGATGGAATTAAGAAAAATATAAAAGGAATCGTCGTATTTTGGAAAAAATTAAACTAGGTAAATAATTAGAAAAAAAGTAAATTTATTTAGATTATATATAACAATCACCACAAAAATAAATAAGAAATTAAAAAGAAGTAAATGCACTCATACCGAAAGACGAAATGTTTCAAGTGTGCCATCGAGAAATATCACTTTAATAGGAACTAATTTGATCGATCCATACTTTTTTGGCGAAATCGCACACTTGTGTCCTGCTTTTTCAGACATGATTGTCCGTAGGTACTACTCTTTAGCTCATTCAGAAATACAAAATATGTGTAATCGTATGCTCAAAGAAATAAAGTAAAAATAAACGTAAAATAACACGCAAAGTTTCTATGTAAAAAACACTGAAATAAATGGGCAAGCTAGAAATAAGTGTAAAAATGTAATAATAACTCTTAATGATTTTAAAATGACTAGATAAAGAATGAAATTAGGACTTCCAAAATGAATGGAAATTCTTGTCATATATATGTATAAATATGCTCATAAATGGTAAATGCATCATAATGGCGCAAGAAAGGCTCAATTAATGAGTAAGAGTAAATTCATTATGTCTAAGGTCAATGTATAATAAGCGATTTTAAGATGAGCGCTTTAACTTCCAAGTTTAGATCCTTTAGTTATTTATTGAAATAAAAAAAACTAAAAGACAATTTAAGAAATAAAACGATGTAAATGAGCTAAATTTAGATGCGTTTATTTAAAATATTTTTAGTAAATTGATTTAATCTATAAGTTTTTTTCTTATTTTTAATGCTAAGTTTTAGTCATATCATTTAAATGATATATCATCAGCTGA